CTTCTCCATTTGCTTCCTTAACCTCGATGCTGAGCTAAAGTTCTTGAGCTTCTCCCATAGTAGCGAGAGGATATACCGAGCAAGTGGGTGTCCTTTAGTAGTTTACCACCTACATATTATTCCATCCGCCGCCGTACGAAATGGGCTTGTCGTCGGAGTAGATAGACTCGGCGAGTCTAGCGAAGGTCTCGGCCATGGCGAACGAGACAATCGAGTGCGAGGTTCAGTGCATCGGAAAGAGCCTGAAACTGGATCTTTGAGTCCGAATTCGAATCTGAAAACCTCTTCCGGGTCGTTGATGCAGTTGTTGATAGTGGCGGAGAAGTGGATCGCATGAATGTGAGATCAGGAGACTGAGACATCGGGTCGGTGGGAATCAGAAACTTCAAATCATCGAGTTGTCAGGTGAGGGGAGATAGGGTTGGCCTCAAAGCCATCCACGCCGTTGAGTTGATTTTCTTCGTCCACCCCAGCATATGGTCGAATGACCTGTTCTCCATGGTTGTTATAGCGATCGAGAGAGAGAGCTTGATCTTCAAAAAAGGAAAAAGAATCAGGACTTCAAAAAGAAAAAGAGAGAATCTTTGGGGCTTTTTTATGAGCAGAGATCGAGAAAGAGAGAGAGTGAGAGAGCAAATAAAAGCGGAGGTTCCTAGGCCAGTGTTGTGACTTGTGCCTGAGTTTTTCTTTCTCTCTGTAGATTGAATAGGTGTGTCTCTGAGTGTGGGTGTTGGGTTGTTCGGTTCTTGGATTTTTGCAGATTCACAGTGGATATTGTGGTGAGGTTTTACGGTGGTGAGATGAAAAAATGAAAGAGAACCAACATAGCTTTTTGTGTAGTTTCCCACAAACGACGCCAAATGTTGATACACAAAACCGGAAGGGTCTTGGAACAACATAAATTCGACCGTGAATCTGTAAGAAAGTAAAGAACACAAGATGTATCGTGGTTCACCCCAATGTTTGGGCTATGTCCACACTGATGTTGATATTGTTTCACTCTGAATGGTGAATAACAATGATCACATTTCAACGAAATAATACAAAATATAAATTAAATAACATGAGGATCTATATTTTTGTTTCAAAGAAAAAGAAGAAGGTCTGCAAAACAATGATGAACTCCATTAACGACCGAAATCTGGAATCAACCTAAAAAATTTAGGGGTAAATTCGACAAATCATAATTTATTATAGTTGGGTCATTTTTAGTTGGACTACTTTAATATGGGCCTTGTACTAATCATTAAACAAAACTTATAACATGGTTTTTTATTAAAACTAAAACTTTTCAAGCTTTTTTCATTAGTTTTCCTTAAATTTTTTAAGGGTTGTTTTATTGGCATCCCACAATTTTATAAATACACCCCACACTTACAATTGTTCTTTTAAATTCCAATTTTAACCCTACTTCTACTGAAGCCACCCCACCTGTTCAAAATAACAATAACATTTATCTAACTGACATCTCGCTCACCATCCGCCACTTCATCGATCCATGCTAAGCACTCCATTCCCTCACCATCCCCTCCCCATTCCCTCATTGTCGTTCTGCGAGGCCTTTAGCAGTTTGTAGAAACTGCAATTTCAGACGCCATACTCAAGGATGTCTACTTGATGGCTATGGGCAGGAAAACATATGGAAAGTGCTTCTGTAATATAAGGTCGACATATGTTTGGTTAAATAAAGTTATCAAGACCATCTTCTTGTAACAATTGAATATTTGAATTATTGAGATCAATGGAATTGCATTAATGGTGGTGCATGTTGTTTGGCTGTTGCGAAGGGAATATGTGATGCATTTGTAGGTGCTGGGTTTGTTTGTTTTTTTCTTTTTCTTTTTCAAATTTGAATAAGGGTAAATGAGGTAGTTCAACAAGAATTCAAACAAATGGGGTGTATTCATAAGATTGTGGGGGTGTTAATAAAAAAAACCCAAAAAATGCCTTATGAATTTATAAACATTTTTTAATTTGTCATATAAACTAAAATTTTAAATTAATTATCATCTCAAATTTCTGAAATTCTAATTTGTCATCTCTTCCGTTAAATTTTTCATTCAAAATAATGCTTGTGCCTTGCAAGTGACTGTATTATTCGAGGCTATTTTGAACTTCTTGAAGGTAGAATTCTGAAGGAAATTAGTTGAAACTCAAAAACACTTTGTTGTTGCCTACTATTTTTGGTATGATAATGCATTCTGAACAGGATTTAGATAGTTTGTATAATTTGATTTAATTAGATGAAAATATATGTTATCAATTGTTTCAAACAATTTGTGTATTTGATTCCGAGCAGTACTACCATCTTTGTTGGCCTCCATTTGTATGAAATGTGGTTTATATATGTCTCATTATACATAATGTCTTTGACTGGTTTGGTTGCTAAATAAGTTTGTTATTCGGTTTGAGTAAGCATCTAATTACTATTACAGAAAACAGTTTGTGCGATGCAAGTACTTTCGTCGCACAAAGTCATAAAACGTTGCTTGAAAATTAGCCCAATGACATCTTCGTCGCGCGCAAACCGTTGCGCAAAGGTCGTGAAAGTAGGGTTTGTGCGACAAAGAGGTAACCTGCGTTGCGCAAAAGGTCTTTGCGCGATGACAGCACCTACGTCGCGCAAAGAACTTTTGTGTGACGACAACATTTGCATCGTGCAAAAGGTCTTTGCGCAACGACAGCACATGTGTCACGCAAAAGTTCTTTGTGCGATGAAAAAGTAACCTGTGTCGCGCAAAGTACTTTAGCCCGATGACAACACCTGCATCGCGCAAAAGGTCTTTGCGCGACGACAGCACCTGCGTCACGCAAAAGTTCTTTGCGCAACACATGTTACTTGTTAGTCGCACAAATACTTTTTTTTTTTTGACAAAATATTTTTTATTTAATTTTTTATAAATATTGTAATTAAATTATAAACAATAATTAATAAACCAATAAAAAGTATTTAATTATAAAATATATGAAAATGTACGTACAAGATGTCCGAACATAAAAGAAAAAACTACAACAAGTAGTCGTATAGGTTTGATGCATCAGGCTACTGGGTATCGGCTTGGCGAAGTGGCTAGGAGGTCGAAGGTAGAGTAAGATCAGGTGCTGGCATCGAGATTTGAAGGTCGAACATTTGTAAGGCCCGTAAGATCATACTCATCTTATTGTCCTGAGCCGATAATTGGGCTGCAATCTCGGCTTCCTAGGCTGCTTCTTGGGCCACAATCTTACCTTTTAGGGTTTCCACTTCCTCCTTCAGGGCGATGACCTATCTTGTGGTTGATCTAGAAAATGAGGCACTCGTCTCACGAGCCCGTGCCATGTACAATTGCTGCAACCTAGGCTTTAATGGAAAATAACGAATTACTTTTTGTGGAATCTTGGTCTTTCTATTATGTGATGTCATTTTAAACCTCGTTTCATTGCATACATGGCATTTATCCAACTATTTGTTCTCCTTATAAAACAATATACAATTATTTACACATGCATGAATTTTTTCATACCCCAATCTAAAACCCTTCAACACTTTTTAGGCACTTTTATGATCTTCAGGTAAACAATTGTCCTTTGGAAGCATCATCTTGATAACTCCCAAAAGGTAATCAAAACACTTGTTTGACATACGAAACTTGATCTTGCCATGCATTAACTCCACAATTGTCGTGAGCACTAAAAAGTTCTTGCAACCCAGATATAATTCTTGCTTGACATTTTTCAATATTTTTTCATAGTTTTTGAATGCCTCGCTGTCCGTGGTTGGATGTTCGTCATCTCCCATTTCCTAATTAGTGTTGGTCGAGGCGTATGGATAAACGTCATTTAAAATATCCATAACTTGTTCATTAGGATCCACATTAGATTCAACGGTCTCCACTCGTGTCACTTATGAAGACCAAGCTTGGTCTAATCATTCTCCATAATGATTCCAAGTAGTATAGGTCTCCATCATCCCATTTCTTACGAAATGAAATCGAACATTTTCGGATGTCTCCCTCATTGAGTTGTTACACCTCCTACACGGACACCGAATATGAGTTGAACCTAGGTTGTGTCTAGTTGCAAATTTAATTAACTCATCTATTCCTTCCAAGTACTTAACAACACATCTATTCTAATTCTATATCCACTGTCTGTCCATTTTGTCTGTAATCCCAATAAAAATACAAGAATTACAACAATTTCAACTATTATCTTGTCACCTTATTCATTTGGTAAGGGCCCTATCTCATTCAGGAATGCACAGTTATATGTCGTAGTTTACGATTCCAATGGATTAAATTTCGACGTGGGCAAATTTCGACAGCATCTGACACGCTCCGACCTTGATATTCCCCGAATATCAGGATAGACACGTGCTGGCTGACACCCGAGGGTGACGAAAGCTAATAATAGATTACAAGAGTAATGATTAGGAGAAAAATATTAATGAATAAACATAAGAATTTAAGAGTAATAAACAAAGTTCAAGGAAGTGTCTAGGGTGCACAAGACACAATCTAAAACAAGATTTACAAAAAGGAAAGATCATTACAAGATATCACACAAGTGAGTGATAGATTGCTACTGGTAGGGGAATGCCTCGTATGCCATCTCGTAGTCCTCGTTTCTATGACCTAAATAGGGGTGCAAAACAAAGGTAAGTGGACTAAGTTCATATATACAATAATAATAAAACAGTTATCAAAGTACTAACCCCCACAATTTATATAATGAAAACTACTAGCATAATAAGTGATGGATTTAATAAAATCCTAGCATGCCAAAAATATCTCCAAAAGTCATATCATCGAAAAACATCGTGGAAATCAAAACAATAAACGCATCGTAGATCGTCTCGTAAGCGCGCTGTGTTGTTAGAAAGATCACTGAATAAATATAACTCCCGGCCTAATACCTGCTCTGTGGTCTCTGTGCCCATAGCCAGAGATTACCAACTCTCGGCCCAATGCCTGCTCCATGTCCCTCAGCCCGTAGCTAGGGATTATTTCTCCCGGCCTAAATGCCAACACCAGATCCTCGCCCCAGGCGGCATAGTATCCTCTAGGTACGCACAAATAGTTACGCCTCTCATAAATAACCACTTCATAGTATAAAGTCATCCATCGTCTACACTATAAAGAGGGGTTTCTAAAACATGTTCTAGCATTCTATCATCATCCATCAGATAGTCTACCAGTTTATGGTTTTTATAGAAAATACGATATATTCAAATATAGCTCAAAATAGACTAACATTTAATTCCTCACAAAAAACACGAGACGAAATCAATAAATTCAGTAAACAGGCTTAACATAAATCGAATCATAAATTTTTAGGTATGCTAATCATTTATGCAATTAATTTATAAAATCATGTAATTTTAGAAGGGGTCCACTCACAAATATTCCTTAGCAGAAGAGTCGAGCGGAAAAGGATTAAGGATTTCTCCACTAGCAACTTTACCTAGGCACAAAAATGTAATAAATAAATAAAAGGATTTTTCTAAAAGATTTGGGTTTGAACTAAATAAATTAAGGGATTTGGGTTTGAATGGGTAAGGCCCTAATAGGTTTTAGAATTCTAAGGTTTTATGGTAAAAAGGCTTTAGGGTAAAGAAAGGGGTTTAGGCTTAAGCCCAAACACACACACACACACACCACAAACACACACACACACACAAGCACAACATGCACATGCATGCATGGCATGCATATACACACACGCACACATGCACTAAACGCACACACACACACCCTAAACACACACACACGGGTTGCACACCCACAGCCCACATACACACACACACACTCACACAAAGGCCTCACAAAAGGGCAGGGCTTTAAGCCCTTTAACAAGAACCGGCCCAAGGCCCTTCAAAATAAGGCCCGTGGCCTTTTGGGGTTTTAAAACAACATAACTAAAAATAAAAATCATGCGGGCTAGGGTACTGGGCTGGCCCAAAAATGCTAAAGCCTGAGGGTGGTTCTAAACGGCCTGAGAGGCATGGTTTGCCGAGGAAGAAGAAGGCCGGAGCTGCTACAGCTCCGGTCACCTGAAAACGGAGGTTCTATACTCTGATCTAAGTACGAACATGAAGAAAAAAAAGGAGAGGAAGAGATTGCTACCTTCAAATAACCGTAACACGATCGGAGGTGACTGGAAATCCCCTCAAAGCTCATGGGTTCGCTGGAAAAATGGGTGTGCTCAACCCAACTCCATTCCAAGGTACAACCTACATAAAAAGGGAATGATCTAACTTATAAAACACAACCAAGCATCACGCTAAGAAAGAGAATGAGAGATTCGTGACTTACCCAACGGAAAAAGAGGAGTTCGTTAGAGCTTTTGCTCCCGTGCCATCGAACTCACAAGGAGGAGATCATGGGCTCGCTACGAGCCTCCCTTGGTGATGACACGGTCCTAGTGTCCAGAGGAAGAGAGTGAGGTGAGAGGTTGAGAGAGAGAAAGATATACAGGAGAGCTGAGAGATAGAGAGCTACGGGAGAGAGATGAAGAAGAGAGAGGTCTCGGGGGGGGGACAGAAAGAGAGAAAAGATGGGTGAGTTAGATGGCTGCCACGTGGCAGTTTAGGATAAAATAACAAATAATACAAATATTTGGGGGCTGTTGTAACAGCATCTCCTTACAGTTCTTCAAGTGCACACCGTAGATACATAATATCCATCTTGTACTCAAAGAACATCAGGAAATGTTACCAAAATTTCCACTACCGAAACCTAATCCGTGAACCGCAAACTAGAACATGTAACTATGCATTCCCAAACTGTCCAAAAAATGGGACAATTCAAGAATTAATTGGACCGTAGTCATGTTTTCACATATGCACGAAATCCAACTAATTCTCAAACAGGAAACCAAGTTTTTCTTAAAAAAAATGTACAAAGTCAAGTAGTATTAACTTCGCACAACACAAAACAATTTTGTAAGTGATGTACAAAAATATGTGCATAAAAATAAATTAAATCACAATAATTACCAAAACTAAATAAAATAAATAAAACTAATAAAGATTAATTTAAAATTCAATCCCAAAAAACTCCACCATGACCCAAAAAAGGGCATAGCACGTAGGCAAAGGTACACAATAACAAGTGTAAGGAATCTGAAGTTAGTTGCTCAAAAATTGTGTTCATACGTGATGCAAATATTCAGTAATTAGGAAGCTGAAAATAGAAATCAAGGTTATACCCATGTACATAACCACAAGAGTAAATTGAAGCTATGGTCCCTTAACTTTAACTCAATTGGAGCAATGGTCCCTCAACTAAAAATCCATTACCATCAGACCCTCAACTCATCAAAACGTGCAGCTATGGTATCTCAATTAAAAATTCATTACCATTGGTCCCTCAACTTTAATTCAACTGGAGAAATGGTCTCTTAACTTTAACCCAATTGTAGCAATGATTCTTCCAACATAACTCGTTTTGACAAATTTTTGACGTACGTAGTTGACGAAAAGGATCATAATTACACACTTTGATGAGTTGATGGACCCTAATTATATATAAGGAAAACTAATTAAAAGGGATTGAAAACTTTGAGTTTTAATGATAAGGACAAAATAAAGGGTAAAGTGAATAGTACCAGGATTAACTTTTTAGTGTAAAAATGTGGTTTTTCGTTAAAGTGAACAGTGTCGGGAGCTTTTCGTTAAAGTGAACAATATCGGGAGCTTTTCGTTAAAGTGAACAGTATCAGGAGCTTTTCGTTAAAGTTCCCTTATATTTATGGTTATTCCAACATAACTTATTTTGACAAAAATTTTGACGAAATTGATGAAAATGACTATAGCTACACATGTTGATAAGTTGAGGGACCAATGGTAATAAATTTTTAGTTGAGGGATCATTGCTCCAATTTGATTAAAATTGAAGGACCATTGCTACAATTTACTCTAATCACAAATGACCAGGTCAAAGCTAATAATCTGCCTTATAGTGGTGAAATCATTAACAGATAACACTTTATTTTTTGGATGTATGAAAACAATATCAGGGGTTGATAGGGGTTGGTATACAAACTCAAGTTATTTGAACGTCATATAGAAACTAATATCTAGTTTACCAGAACTGGGATTTAAACCATTAGTAAAATTTGAGATGATTCTTTTCGTGACATGTAGAATTATCAAAATATGAAGAAACCACATGTCAATTATTTTTTCCACTTACACCATAGTACGTTTCGTGATGTGTTTCTATTGCAATGTGAAATCTTACAGTCTCACTCCTTTTAATAGGTAAAATTAATCAAGATTAATTAAAAATTCAATCCCAAAAAACTCCACCATGACTAAAAAAGGGCATAGCACACAGGCAAAGGTACATATACAAAAATCCTATACAAAAATCCCATATACAATTTGAAAAAAATACATTCAGATTTGTTCTTCAATGATATTCATATACAAAAATTATGTACAAAACAAATTTAGTTGCATTAGTTTGAATTCTCAATTCAAAGTTACATATACAAAATCAAATTGCTTACCGGATAGGGATAGATTGAGGAAGGGAAAGGAAATGGAGGAGAAGAGAGATGAAATATTTGTATGATGAATTTAAGAGCAAGGGAGGGGGGATTGGAGAAGGTTTTGAAGAGAGATGGGGAGGGAGGTAGTTGCTGCAACTGGGTTTGCAGTTTCTACCTCCCAAACTTTAGTGATATGGAAAAAGTCGTTGACTTTGCGTGATGAAGACCAAGGTTCTAAAAAACGCTAGGTGCTAGTCAGGCGGCGGACTAGCGTCTAGGTGGATAGGCGGGTCTAGGCGGATTTAGGTAAATTTCTTATATATTTTATGAATTAATTAAATTTACTATATCAAACGTAAATAATTATTGACTAATATGTCATTTCTTATAGAAGAACATACATATGTGAATGTTTTATGTACATATATGATATGCTTGCCTAGGAAAAAAATTATCTAAATAATTTATAATTTATATAAGATTTATATATATATATACACACACACAATATATATACCAAACTTTTAAAAATATAAAAAGCCCACATAGTGGGTGGTTTTCATTATTAAAATCATCAAACCAATCACCTCACATCTGCTTTTTCACATCACCTGTCCACCTTGGGTGGTTTTCATTATTAAAACCATCAGAGTCCATGGTTTCATAATTAAAACCAGTTCGCAACTTGCATCACAACATATAGAAATGTTTAAGTCTCTCTCTCTTTGCACTATCTCTTCTCTCATCTTCACAGACGATTGCAAAAATTTTCTAGCAGCATTTATTCTTCCCTCATCTTCACAAAGATGGGCTGCAAAAATTCACCATTAGTCTCTCTCTTTCTCTCTTCACACTCTCTCTTCCCTCATCTTCATAGAGACGAGCAACATAAATTTTCCGAGGCTCTGCTGCTACGTAAGAGATCGGAAGTTATAGATCCTTTGTGAAAATTGCAGCAAGTTTGAGATTTGCAGCGAGATTCAAACCGCCTACACTGCAGCCTAGCCCGCCTCAAGCGCCTAGGTAGCCGACTATGTCCTCCCCACCTAACTGAACGTTTTAGTCTAAATCGGGTAGGAGCATCGCCGCCCAGCACCTAGGCGGCCGCCTAGACTGATTTTTAGAATACTGACGAAGACTGTCGTCACGCAAAACAGTTTAGGGCAACGAAGGTGTACCTTTATCGTGCAATGTTGGGAAAAAACGATTGAAGGCTTGGTTTGGCGTCAAAAACTTGCGCGACAAATATACCGCGTTGCGCAAATAGTCTTTGCACGACGGTGAAATAAAACGTCTTGCAAAAGTTGTTTGTGTGACGCCGTCTATGCGTCGCGCAAGCTTTTGGCGCCAAACCAAGACTTTTACCAATTTTTTCCCAACATTGCGCGATGAAGGTACACCTTCGCTACACTAAACTGTTTTGCGCGATGGTAGTCTTCGTTGCCCAAAGTCCCATTGCATAAAATGTCCTTGCGTGACGTTTAGTTATCAACGTTGCACAAAATGTCCTTACACAACGTATTTTGCTCCGTCACGCAAGGTTCCGTTGCGCAAGTATATTTTTGTACTAGTGTAAGCAACCAATCTTAGAGCCACGAAAATCTATCATACCTATGCATTGGTGTAGTTTGATTCTAAGTATTATTTCTCATGAATCATAATGTTGTTTACTTGTTAGTTTATTCATATTTTTGTTTAACATTTCAATTTCTTCCTTATTTTATCATGACCCATGAGGACTTACCTACGCTGCATGGGTACGTCATTTATGGCGGTATCCAAAACAATAATGCAATATCACAAGTGTTGTAGATTTTGAATACATCTCAATGACGCATCCGATGTAGGTAGATCTCAGTCCTAACTAATTTAGGTGTGTTCAAATGTCAACTTCACAAATAGTTCTTCGGGACAAGTATAATCCTCAAACCAAACTCTACTCATGCTGTCATGCTGTCATGCATCAGAAATGGATAGCAAACCAAGTCTAAAACACAAAAGAAAGGAAAGACCACTACTATATATTAAAGGATTTCAAGTTTTTTTTTTTTTTTTTTTTCTGATACAAAGATATATTTACACTAACAGGTTGGAGGAATAAAAATTGGTATCGAACTCACTGTTCACAATATTCGAACCTAAGATATTCCGCTTACAAGTGAAAAGAAAATCACTAGACCATAGTACTAAATGACAAAGATTTCAAGGTTTTAACCACCACAAAATGATGGTAGATTAGATCCCATGACAATGTGGACGTATCCCAAGTTCATATTAACCAAAAAACACAACCGAAAGGTAAACAAAAATTGGAACTCCTAGCAATATACAACTCAAGACTTGTGTCAAGGTTATTCAACCTTTTTACTGGAAGCTTAGAGTGTCCTTCACCTTCGTTTTGGGCAAGAGGATCCAAATTTTGACTTTACCCCGTGACCAGCTTTAGAGCTTGCTACTTTCTTCGGCATGGTGCTTTTGAAATCCTGAACACGAAGGTAAATGCAGTTTAATTATATATCAGGTAAATGAAAAATTAATAGAAAGAACATCTATAGACTAAAATAGAGAAGATAGGAGCTCAAAGCCTAAAACTCTCACAGGTGGGCATATTGAAACTTTTGCAGCTCTAGCATAGTGAAGATGCCGCATCAGGTCTTCATAGGTAGAAAACTCTTGTTCGGTCTCCGGACAGAAGGACTACAATATATACCCATAAATTGAAAAGCATATCAGTCCTTGCAAGTCTAAATTGTGTTTATGTTTCAACTAGTTTTTTCTTTATTGCCAGACTTCCAAGCTTTTATTCTACATCTCCTCCACCACTCTTCTAAAACCCCTCATTTTTCTCTTGTATTTTCCCACTAATTCTAACACAAAAATGAAAACAAAATGAAAATCATACAAGTCCAAAATTTTCAATTCATACATTTTCCTTCATTTCTCCCTCATGAAGCAATTGTAGAAAATAAAATACAAACCAATGAGATCATTACACTACACGTGATTAAAATATGAATCTATAAAATTTAAAAAATAAGAGGAAAGAGTGACAATGTCATTATAGTTATTTAATATCTACCTCTAGTAAATCATCGATTCGATATTTGAAGATTTCACATAAGGCAATGGAAAGCTAGAACCATCTTCCACTTCATCTGCCTCTCAATCCATTATCTTTTTCTCGGCGAAAACTTTGCCCCAAGATCTGACTTGTTTGTAGTAGTACACAAACAAACTCAATCTTGGGTCTCTTTAAAATATGAATTGGAAGGATCTAGAACAATGATTTTGAAAATAAACCATGGACCTAAATATGTGTGCGGATTCAATTTCAGGAAATGGTTTTTTCACTCTTGTTTTTTTCTTTTCACCCGTCCCTTTGTTTTTGTCTTAATTCTTTATTTATTTATTTAATCTAAAGGTTAGAAGAAGAAAAAAGTGCAAAGAGGCAAAGGAAAGTGCCGAAATCATTTCCCACCGGTTTCTTCAATATGTTTATCTATTTTTCTTTTCCTCCAAACCTATTTGGCAAGTATATCTAGGCCATTGATGGGATTTACTTAGACGCTATTAGGAGTGGGCACGGGCCGGGTCGGGCCCAAATTTGAAGGGACCGGACCTATTTTAAACCACAACGGAACGAGCCGGAGCGGGTACAAAGAATTTGAGTTTTAGAACCAGACCTAACCCAACCGGTTTAAAACGGGCCGATTCAAGCCTGGTCCACGGGTCCAATTACTTCTTTTTTTTCTAATAGATTATTTAGAAACACAGAAACAAGGCAATACTCTTAACTTTCTCGACCTCCCTTTCTCTGCTTCACTGCACTGAAGAAATGAGGCACACCACCACGATGAACCTCACCGCTCTTGCGAGGCATATCAATAAATCTGTAGAGTTATGGACACGTGGATGCATGCACATAAAATCATGGACTTAGAAAGTTATGGACCAATTTTCTTCTTCAATAAACAAAACAAGGACTCAAAAGCATGGCATCATTGATTAGATAGACAACAAATTTCTAGAGACTAAAGTGATTCACACACAAAATCATGGCATATTGATTCAAAATCAAGAAGGGATCTAGGTTTATACCTTTTCTATTTTAGACTCAAAATCAATGGGTACTGCTGCACAGTTCTGATTGTTGCTGGTCTGATTTCCCTTCTGTCTCCAGTTCCTTTTCAAAATCAATCAAGGGATATGGGTTTATACCCTTTGATTGCAAGATCCCTTACACATATAACAACTTGCATGAGACATTGTCCTTCAAAATCTAAACATTGGAAGAAAAAAACCGAAGAATGATGAGACTAAAATAACCTTTGGGGTGTCGAGTCCAAGAGAAATTTGAGGGTAATGAGCACAGAGATTCCATGGCATGTGAGAAAGTTTGAAGGACAGAGAGAGTTATAGAAAATTGAGAGAAATGGTGGACGCTGGAGCTCCGAATATCTCAGATGTGTTGTTTTGGTATGTTAAAAATGGGTTGGTCTGGGGCCCTGTGATACTAAAGTTTTGGAACTACCCCGTCCCACCCCATACCCATCTCGAACCGATTGTACCCGTCCCGCCCCACGGATCCTAGACCTGTTTGCCCACCCCTAGACACTATCATATGATTTACTTAGTCATTCCCTCTCTATTATCTACTCGACTTGAATGAAATATATACAATTTGCTAATAACTACTTGCTACTCGGTTCCTCATTTCAGTAACTAGCTATCTTCTTCTTTCTTTTTCATCATCTCTTCCTTTCCTCCCACTCCGCTCTTCTTTTTAATCTCCGTATTCCTCGTCTTCTTGTCTTCCCACTCCTTTCTCTCTTTATTTTCTGTCCTTTATTTCTTTCACTCTCTTTCTTCTAAAATTGTCAAAGGGGGTCAAAGAATATTTAGTTCCAAGCCTTATACCATCATTGAAGTTGGAGGTTTACTTTTGTTTGTACTATACTTGACCAATCCTGAAACTACCAAGTACTGGTCAACTTTATACATTCAAAGACCCACTGAGGGATTCATGATGAGGCACCCCTGTCGAAGCACTTGAGTTTCCTTCCACTCAGGATGCCAATCACATCACGACATGTGTCAACATCAGAATAAGACTTCTAGAGTCCCACATCGATCGTGGACGAAAGCCGAAGACTCTCCTTAACTAAAAAAGAAGACCATTCTACTACAATTAAGGGAGGAATGTCATTATTATACTTAAACTAGTCATTATAACCCACTAATGGTGATTATGCTTAAACTTATGTATTTGTGTAAACCCTTGACTATTAATGAGAACTCCTATACTCTATGGACATAGCCAAACTTAGGATGAACCACGTACATCTTGTGTTTACTTCCCTATCTCTATCTCTTTACATATTATCCTCACTAGATGACCGGAGCAACTGGGCGAAGGTCACAAACTTAACATTTTACGTTGTTCCAAAGTATCGCCGACAAACTTGACATTTTATGTCGTTACAAAGTCTCACCAATTTTGTGCATCAACAACTTTAAACACTTCTTGCCAAGCTCTCTGTGTTACAGTTGATATGGCATAGACAAATGGAGATTCGGTTCAAAAAAAGGTTTATGGTTTTCCTATAGGGTGGAGACATCAAGCCAAAACATGAAGCCAGCCACAGCTAGGCATAACATAATGAAAGCCGCCCTGGCTTTTAGCAGCACTTAGGTACCGTTTGGTATGCAGACAGGACAGAACGAGATGAATGGGAAGGGACGAAACAAAGATTTCGTGTTATATTTGGTACGCACAAGATGGAACGGGACGAAACGAGATTAAATGACTAACTTACCCTTTTTATTTGACTCTTTATCCACCCTGTCTCTCTACTTTCTCTTCTTCCATATGTTTCAAGAACATGCCCATATTGATCCCAGTAAAAATCAAACTCAGTAAATCAAACCCATACTTTCTCTTCATTTCATTTTATTTCTCTTCAATTCAAACCCATATTTCTCTTCCCTTAATTTCTTTCTCTTCAAAACAATAGTTTAGGGTTTCATTTTCCCGTCAAGCTAAAGAGAAAGTCGTTGTTGCAGAGCTCGCACACCTGCAGCAGCAATGGCGAGAATCAAGGTACATGAGCTGAGGCACAAGACAAAGCCTGACCTTTTGGCCCAGCTCAAGGATCTCAAGTCGGAGCTTGCCCTCCTCCGCATTTTGGCTTTGAATTTAAGTATGACATACGTGAGGTTTTGGTGTTTAATTGAACTCCTCTAGGATTGGGTAGGCATGCCTCATCCAAACTGACTTAAATTTTCTTCTAGTGCAATGATAGTTAAGATTATGTTGATGTTTAAAAAACAAAAACTAAATAAAACCAAACACAGAAAAATCCCAAATTGGTTTTTTTTTTTTTTTTTCAATTTACAGAGGCTTTGTCGCATCTGCAAATTCATTTCAATCAATTTCTGCAGCGTTGGGAGAAGAAGGTGGAGCGCGGAGGGACTAAACCTGCAGCAATGGAGGAGCTTCGACATCGTCAACAACGGCCTTGGTCTCGTTTTTGCTATATGAGTCTTGGGCGTCGCTGGTGACGATCTCGTCGTGGGACTAGCAGGGAGGAAGACAGCAAGAAGAAGTTGAGTTTGGGTTTGGGTTAGCCATAGTTGGATTGCTGGGTTTGTGGTGGAGAAAGATGAGGCTACAAGAGAGAGGGAGGGTAGAAGAGAGAAAGGCTACGGGAGAGAGAGAAAGCGTAGACAGTGGAATTAATGAAACAAAGAAGAGGTATTGTTGTCCAAAAAATTATAAATTTGTGTCTTGTGGGCTGGAACAAGTTGTTCCAGGGGGTAAGGTGGAACCAAAAAATGGCTAAAATTCGTTCCACGGGACGATGTGTTCCAGTCAAATTGGCACACCAAACGTGGGATGAAACGCCTCGTCCCATTGTGTTCCGTCCCGTCCCACATACCAAACGGTACCTTAGTGCCGCCAACAAAGAAGCCAAGACATCAACCCATCATAAAGCAAACTAGAACCATATGATTCAAAACAAGTAAACAAGTTCCAATAATGTTATTCATAACATATTTTTATACCACAATTGTATACCACATTAGATGGCATTTGATGTGAACAGCCACATCATCTAAATTAATTAGCATTTAATTTTAAAATGTTAATGAATAATTAATAAAAAGATTGTTAATTAAATAATGATTGTGGTATACGAGAGGTCTACTTCTGCCACCTAAGATTATTTAAGTGTTTTAATTAATAAAAAAATTTAAATTAAATGATGTAACTTGTCTAACTCATCTGTCATCTAAGATAGTAAAGAAATATGGTATAAAATTGTGGTAAGAATAGCATTACTTAACAAGTTCCTCATTGAAAACTATCAAATAAAGGATTCAATTCCTCAAAACGAGATGCCTTGACAAGAAGTTCACTAAGATGTAATCCCTACAACTTCACTGAAATGTAATCCTGAACAAAAAAATGTATGACTGGGAGGGAAAAAAAGACAGACGACACCACTCCACAGCCCTAAACTTTTAATATGTCACCGAAGAAAGGAGTTCAAGCTGGGAACCAATCTTCTCCTCTGCAGATTTTTCAGCCTTCAACCTAAGTTTGGTTAGCTGCTTCTTCCTCTCATATTCCAACTGAGCCCTCTCTTTTCTCTTGTTCTCCAGCTCCTGTGAACGGAAAATAAAAATAAATTCAGAATATTCGGCATGTAACTTTACCAACAAACTTAACATTGCGTTCGTACTAAAACCAAGAACTTTATATCATGGCTGGAAAATACGTCAACCAATTGTCAAGCTTAAGGGAAGTTTCGGAATTCCAGCACATCTCAAGAAAGTTTATAAACATATGATCATGAAAACCAGATTCATGGATGAATATATACATAAAAGATCATAAAACCGACAAGTGAAATGACCGAAAAATGCAAGGGTGGAGATAACTCCCAAAGGCAACAAACTCTGCTGCGGCTAACTACAAACTACATTCAAATAACATCCAACAAATAAAAGGGAATGGCTATCTAATTACGACCACATTCAACCAAAATCGTAAAAGCATAAACCTTTTGAGTTGAATTTCATCTTACCTTGATTGTGTCATAATGGTTCCATCCGACCTCAGATGAAAGCTGACCCAACAAGCAGTATTTGTGGCCCTTCTGAAGCCTCAACACCCTAATTTCACAATTGATCACAAACCCCAATTCAGCGAAGCAATTCATCAAACACTTGCACAACAAAAACATAATGTCACACCAACACCAAACTCACTTGAGAGCATCAGGAACCACCATCCTCTTCGTCTTGTCATACGGCGGCGGGATGCCCTCGTAAACCTTCAGCCTCGCCAGAGCCTCAGCTCCGCGCTTAGTCTTGTGCGGGATCATCCTGCAAAAACACAAACCAGTCGCCATTAAAATGGTGAGTTTGGAGTCGAGGAGCGGAGATACAGAGGTGGGAATAGTGGAATTACGACGTTACCCTCGGACAGTGCGCCAGAAGATTTTGGCGGGAGAGCGGTAGTGGATGGGGCCGTGAGAGGGCTGGGTGTTCATGCGCTTCCTGAGGAACCTCATGTACTTCATCTTCTGCCTCACCAGACCGCCCGATATGGCGATCTGCTCGGCGCGCACGACGGCGATCGGCTGGCCGTTCAGAAGGTCCTTGGCCACAACAGCCGCCAGACGACCGAGCATGTGGTGGCGCCCGTCCACCACCACTCGCTTCGCGCAGATTCCTGAGCCGGACACCATTTTCTCGCCCTCTGATTCTCTCTCACCCTCACTCTGTGCGAGTATATAAAAGGGAAAGTTCATAGCTAGGGTTTTTGTCAACCGCGTGCACGTAGGATGTGTTATCCACCCACCTCAAATTACTTTTCATATCCTTGTTAATTTCTGTCTGTTGATCTTCTTCAATTCATCCAATCCGACGGCCCAAAATTAAAAAAATATGTAAGAAGTAAAATGGGATGTGTGGATATCATATCCCTGCCTGTATTCATTTTGGGGCCGACTATTGGGCTTAGACCATTTTTAATAGGAAACTTTAACGAAAAGCACTCGGTACTGTTCACTTTAACGAACAACCACATTTTACACTAAAAAGTCAATCATGGTACTATTTACTTTACCCTTTATTTTGTCCTTATCATTAAAACTTAAAGTTTTCAAGCCATTTTCATTAGTTTTCTTTTTTTAATAAGGTTTTGTATTGGCCCAGTAATTAGCCTTTTTATTGAATTGGATGGAAGAACTACACTGTATTTTCTCAACAACAATTTATTTGGAGTGATTTGGATATGAAAGTGAGTGTTACAATTGACAAGTTATCAAGCATTTTCTTGACAAATATCTTGTGATATGATATGCTTTTAGTGTAAGTGAAGTTGGAGATGCGTGTTAGTCTAAGCAGAAATTTTAGTGTGCGACAGACGGATCATGTGTCTATGCGGCCACGCATAAATAAAAAGTCACCATGCTTTTTTACCATACAACTTACTTTGTAGTCCCTTCAGTGTGAGAGTAACCGCATACGAACAACCATGTAGAAGAAATTTTCCGATCTACAAGGATCACAAATAGGCAATAAAAATGTGTTGAAAGTCTTGTATAAACAGAATAAGTTAGGGAGAACCGTTAAGTTATTTTGGAAGTGCAACCATTAACGTTTGACTCCGAATCAACTCTTAAACGACAGGTTCTCAAAGCTCTTATCTTTGTTGTATGAGTTGTAGAGTCGATTCGTGTGATTAGAGCACTACGTAATACGTATGCTTACCAAACAATGACCATAAGTCTGCCCACAGAAATCATACCAAAAAATTAAAAAACTACCGAACACAGTGGATTTTGTGGTTGGTGGACGACTAGGCCATCCCACCCATTCTCTTGCGTAATTCCCCCCACCCCTTTCCGAATTAAAAATCTCTCCACCCCACTCACCCACCACCAACCCACCTTTTCCTTCTTTTCTCTTTCAATTCAAACTCTCTGAAATCTTCAAATCTCTGCATTTCCAACAATGGCTGGAGACAAAAAGGTCTACACTTTAGCTGAGGTCTCCACTCACAGTGACCGCAAGGACTGCTGGCTCGTCATCGATGGCAAGGTAATTTTCTAGCTTCTTCTGAGCTCTGCAGTTTTCAGTTAAATTTGGGGACTTTGCATCTGGGTTGTGTTAATTTGGAGTTTTTGTGTGTGATTGAATCTGGGTTTTGCTCTGATTGGATCTGGGAGAAGTGTTTGCTTGTGGGTTTTGACTTTTGACTAGTACGGTGGAATTTTGGTTTATATTTTGACCGCGTATTATAGTAGTTAGATCGCGTTCGAGATATCTATGAAAACAGAGGAAAATTAAAGTTTAGGTGGTTGATTAGATTGTTATGAAGTTATGAATCAGATTGATAGACATTGGTTGAGCTGAGCATAGATTCCACTGAAATTGAACTTATAGGAGCTTCAGCTGCTGATGGATGTTCATGTCTTTTCTCTTTTTGGTGAATTTCTCGGCCCCAAAGGGGATAGCTTCTGCTGATACCGCACAGTGGTATCTAATATCTTTTAAAGTGCGTGATAGTTTATGGAGAATAGGTAGTTATTTATTCGATATTTTAGTTATTAGGGTGCAATGACTGATTATTTTTAGATAAATTATTACCGCACACTCCGTCTAATGTCGCCTTTGGGTCACTTATTTGTACGTCAAGTAGAGAATTATGTTGCTCTTTGTGTGTGTTTGCCAACTAATCCTGCGGATGTGACAATATGGAAGAAAGTAATTGTTAAGAGAAGGCAGAGTTACTAACAGTATGATAAAATGGGTTCGAACAGGTTTATGATGTAACAAAATTCTTGGAGGATCATCCTGGTGGTGATGAGGTCTTATTGGCAGTCACAGGTTTGACACAAACTTAATTCTTTCCCTTTTTGTATGCGCGCATCACAAAATATCGGTAGAAACAGAAGCCTGTTGATACCATTTGATTACTGTTTATGGTCCTAATATGATCCGTGGTTTGCAGGAAAGGATGCAAGTAACGATTTCGAGGATATTGGCCACAGTTCCACTGCTAGAGCAATGCTGGACGAGTTTTACGTCGGAGACATTGATTCGGCATCCATCCCCACGAATAGGAAGTACACTCCTCCCAAGCAGCCTTACTACAACCAGGACAAGACAACTGATTTCGTCATCAAACTCCTCCAGGTCCTCGTTCCCCTGCTAATTTTGGGCCTGGCCTTCGGTGTGCGCTTCTACACCAAATCGTCAACAGCATAAATGCAGAAGCCGAAGGTGAAGTGAGAACGCTTTCCAATAAGTTTATGACGGGGTCGCAAAGACCCTTTGTTATTTTTCGGCGTTTGGAAATGTTGACGATGAAGGGTTGTTAGGATATTCGATTTGCCTTTGCTTTCAAATGTGTTGTGGTTGGTGAAACGACATGTCGTGGGACTGATCAAGGCCCAATACACATAAAATTGTGACTGGTTGTTGGGGCTTGATTCAGGGGCCCAGTTAAGTTTTACAGACCTGCTTTTTACACCCAACGATTCCATCACTTCACCCAACATCCAAAAACGTTGTTGGGACTTGGGAGAGAATCAGAAAACAACGAAAAACGTTATTTTAGATAAAAGAAAACCCATGCAAGCCTCATGGTCCACTATGTCGTCCATCTCAGTGGAGAGGTTGCCGACATGTAAGCTTCATGGTTGACCATGACCTCCATCTTCATGGAGGTCGGCATCGTCTATGTAGGTAGAGGTTGCTTTGTATCACAAATCTCTTCACGGAGGCCACAACCAGGAGAGAAACCTACCTACTCTAGGGGTGCTACTAGGAACGGTATTTTGAGTTTCCTATTGTCATGTGTCTTAACTTTTTTACATAACAGTGCGTGATTAGCGAGAGTACCAACAATGGCATCCATAGAGAAGTTCTTCCATGCCAATTGTCGTGACTTATGTTTTGTTTTTTCTTTACGCATATTAGTTATTAGTAACCTTACCCTTTAAATTAAAACGCTTCAAACCAATACTTTAGAAAAATATCAAGCTAACTTTGCAAAAAGAAATATCGCAATTAAACTAGTTTAGTGTTTTTGCGTAGAACTTATAAATATCAGAATCTTTAGAATCAATTAGAATATAACATGTGAATGGTGAATGATCGATAATCTGTGTAGAATCAAATTCTTGGATGTAAGTAGGAACCCTCTAAGGTTTGATATCTATCTACTTTTGGAAAGTTTGTGTATGGTTTAGGGCCAAGTTTTGGATAATCTATCAATAAAATAAGTAGCAAAAAGCTAGAAGAAAAAAACAAAGAAAATAAGTAGCACAAAGCCAGAAGTACGATGTTTATGAAACTCAACGACGGGCGATGATCTTTAGGCACCTCCATTGGATCCTGCAGCTAATTTTTTATTTTAATTATTTGTCAATTGTGTAATTATTAACTTTAATTATTGAGGCTACTTTACTCCTCACCACTAACATAGAATCATAGAATAATACTTCCATTTTTTTGTGTTAATTCACGACTATTTATTTTGCGCCAATCGATGCGACAATTTACTACCAAAGTAATAAAACATATACTATCTTTTATTCTCTCTTTTTATAAGTAAATATAGCAACACTCATCTCTTGATAAAACTCAATATTTTTCAGTTTTTTCCACCTCCAGACGTTACAGCCAAACTGAAATGAATTGATAAATTTAGAAGATAAAATTAAAGTGTAACTCTGAGATGTAATTTTGGAAGAATATGCCTTTGAAGGGAGATTAAATGGTTAAGACGCAAAAAAATTTGTTGAGTGAGAAGAGGTAATATTTAAATATAAATAGAAACTCTCTTTCTTATTTGAAGTGAACAAGTAAAGTCGAGGGTGCGCACTGTCACATTACCAACTCGCATTTAGTTTAGTGCAAAGTTTCAAACTCAACTTACACTATCCTGATAACGATATACATTTGTAATGAGTTCGATACATATTCGTAGATGGCTCTATTATCGTAGCACAACTTTGTTCTCGCTTTGTCATCACATCATTTGCATCAGTTGGGATGTAAAAAAGTTTGTGAAATAAGTTGGTGCCCTTCATACTAGTGTCTTTTGCACCACCATATAGCCTATAGGCGGCCATGTTGTCACATTGCACAACTGTTGAGTCCTTTGGGACTTCGAGCAGTCAACACAAAGTGTTAAAATTAGAGGATAAGACCCTCCTCAAACACCAAAGAAAGCGTGGTAAAACAAGCAAAGGACCTACTAAAATGTGTACAGAATCTATCTGGACAACGAAATTCCAGCTAATATTTGCATTGCCCTCCAAACATTCCTCATAAGTTTTTCCGCCAAAACTTCGTCTTCTAGTGAGTTTCTTCCACTTTAAGAAGCAAACTTTGAGCAGCCTAGTAGCTCCTCTTCCTTGAGTTATTCTCCATTAATTCCTAGTTGCTTAGAAACAATATTTGATCAGATACGTATATGTTTCCGTCATTTGATATGGCGATGGGAAGCATAGTGAGGGAGGAAGGCGTGCTGAAACTGGTGCGTCCAGGAAGGCGTTTGGAGGTGCACAAGAAACCGGTGACAGCTGAAGAGGTGATGAGAAGGTACCCCAGGCACAGCATAACTAGGCCAGACATCTTTGAGTTCCCATGGATTGTGGTTAAGCCAGAAGCAGTTTTGGTTCCTGGGAAAGTGTTTTTTATAGTTCCTAACCGCACAATTTATCAGTTGCTTAAAGCCAGAGCGCACAGTGATCACCTTCCTTCTTCTTCTTTGCTT